TCAATTCCTTTGACCTTCAGCTCATCTCGAACTCGGCTGAGATACTCGGGGTCGGGGTATCCGTAGCTGTAACACAGGCACAGCAAAATAAGTCCTTATATTCTTACTGCTGCACGTCATTAACTCCTGTCTGCTCTTGTGCTTGATTGTGGTACGCTCGCCTCTATCCTCTCACCAGCCAGCAGCAGATGGCTGCCTGACTGTAAGGTAGGCTAATATGTAAGGTGTCTAACTTAAAACTAGCACTAACAAACCAAACTGAACTACAGCCAGTTTCACCTGTGATGAAAACTAATAATGAGCCTGAGACATTAACACAGACTCGATACACGCTAGTTCTCTTTGCAAGGGGAGAAATGTTCGGAGGCAAAAACCTGCTGACCTGCACTCATCAGTACGTTTGTGAGGCGACGTCCACACAGCAGGTGCCGTGCAGAGACCGCAGCGTGCACATGAAAGTAAGCGACTTCAAGCAACAGTGAACAAAAGAACCACTGATGTGGAAAATAAAGTGTGATCTCTGCAACCGCTGCTTGAAATGTTCACTAGCGATGCTTCCTGTGTGGACGCCCCTTAAATATAGACTGAGGGTACAATCAATCCAAAGTGATCGATCAATGAGCTGCAGTGCTGCCATTGTCCTTACTGAGTCGGTCCTCCGTGTGTTGAGGTTTTGTGGTGGATATCGTTCCATGTGACTGTGTTGTTTCTGCCACTGGTAGTGGAGCGTCCGATGGTGAAAATGAGCCTCTGATCGAAGGCTCGCCTCAGCAGGCCCAGGACCAGCCTGCCCTCCGGGGAGTCTGGGAGGTAGGCTGTCCGGGATGCTCCTTCATATGGTTGGCCTGGGCTGGGATGCTCCTCCTGCAGACAGACAAGGTTTCTCTGCTTTATCCAACTTGCCTTGACTCAATGTGGCTCTCAGGTAGCTGTAGTTTTAGGGCCTGACCCTGCAGTTGCTCTTTATAAACGTAAAGCTTAGATGTGCTGAGAAATCCTTAAAATTATGCACACGAGACAGAAGTTGTGAGTCTCACATGAATGAACCCACCTGTGTGCTTCGTGTACACTCGTCTAGTTCACAGTACGACCTCCAAAACACCTCTGAGTTTTTGTTTGATCAAATATTTCATATTGGACGCCCTCCCTAACACAGCCCCCCCACTTCTCCAGGCTGGTGCCATCAGGAGCACACTGTGTTCCTGCTCAGTCTGATCAAAGAGTTCACGCTGACACGTGTCTCTGCTGGGTTTTGATCTTTCAGTGTGTAATTACTGAGTTTAGTACAGACCACTGTTTTACTGTGATGTGATTCCAGTAACATGAACTTTGTGACACAACACTGACCATATAACTGTGGCAATAAATCAAGCTTTGCTGCACAGACGAGGTGACCTCGATCAGACCAGTATGAGGTGTCAACAACACAACTTCCAAAGCTGCAGAGTTTCTCACCCCTGCAGGATCAGACGGGCGGCGCTGTGACCACTGCTGCCTGATGCTCACTGCAGCTGCCTGATGCTCACTGCAGCTGCCTGGTGTAGGTTTTTCTTTACAGTACAATATAAAGCACCTCCAGGTGATTCTGGTAGTGATTTGGTTCTAAATAAATAAAATTAAATACAACAAGCTACATTTTGTCAGTGAACTAGCCACAGCCATAATTCACTGACACGTGAACTGGGGCAAGCTACGTGACTGACTGCTCACTACAACACAACCAAGAGGGTCATGCAATTGGACAAACACGCCCACTGCAAGAGTCACACAGCATCAAATCTGGTGCAGGTACTGATAAGAGTAGTGGAAGGGTCACCAGGACCAGGTTAGTGTAAA